AATGTGAAAATATATGACTTCTCAAAAGGACCTTGCATGGTCAGTTGTACATCTCCAACTCACCTGATCTTTGCTTCTGTAGAAGTCAGAATCCTGGTGGGTGCACCTGTGCTTCATAGGTGTCTGTGGAACTTCTAAAAACTGCACTCAGGTCTTGGACAGCTGCAGCACTTCAGTGCTTTAGGCAACATGTTTGAGAGGTGTTTAATGAGCTTTGCACGTGGCTTTGCATAATACAGGTAGTCCTCGACTTATGACCACAGTTGAGCCCAACATTTCTGTTGTTAAGTGAGACATTTGTTAAAGTTGAGTTTTGCCCCATTTTATGACTTTTCTTGCCTCGGTTGTTAATTGAACCATTGCAAGTTGATAAGTTAGTGACTCGGTTGTTAAATGAATCTGGCTTCCCCATTGACTTTGCTTGTCAGAAAGTCACAAAAAGCATTCACATGATCTGCTGTCCCAACACAGCAACAGTCATAAATATGACTGTTCCCAAGCATCTGAATTTTGATCACATGACCATGAGGATGCTGCAACTATTGTAAGTGAAAAATGGACATAAGTCACTTTTTTCAGTGCTGTTGTAACTTTGAACAGTCACTAAATGAACTGTTGTAAGGCAAGGACTACCTGTACTTTATAATGCTGTCACTTAGTATTGTGACATTATTCCATATGGTTTTATGGAATATTTGATTGCAGGCAAATTGTCTGGTGCAACATTTGAGAGTAATATTGAAGCAGTTTGCACTTACTTGTTGCTTTCAGGATTCCCTGCCTCCCATCCCTCAATTTTTCCAGTTGGTCTACTGTTTTGATTTTCTTGTAAGTCTTCTAGGAAATTAGCAGTTTTATACATCTGTAGCAAGTTTTAATTCATTGTTGTGTTATTTATTAAAATATTTTTGTTGTTTAAATCTTTTTTAAACAGGAAAGATGCTTTATGGTACCTTGTAAAATGTTCTGGAGCTTTTAGTTTTTGGATAAATTATTAATAATAGTAAACTGGCTTAGAGTCAGTATTGATTTCTGTTGACAGCCTGAACTAGTCTCTGCAGTTTTCTTGGTAAGATTTTTGGAAGTGATTTGCCATTGCCTCCTTCCTTGGGCTGATAGTGAAGGACAGGCCCAAGGCCATCTAGGTGGCTTCGTGCCTAAGGCAGGACTAGAACTCATAGTCCACAAGTCTGGTGCCTTCACCACTGCAGCAAACTGGCTTTCCTTGAACAAAGTAGAAGCATAATAAATAAATTCATAGCAGAAATAATCTAAGGTAATATAGTTTTCTACATTAAACCACTCTTATTGACATTGTTGTGGAAAATGACAAAGGTGTAATCTTTTTGCTGTATCTGAAGCAGACCTGAATAAATGGGATCTTTAATGTTTAATAAGAGAGGCAACACTGATGGATGTTCCCTTTTATTGTTGCCCGGGTGGCCCCTATTTAATAATTGTCAAATAGCTTTTGAAGATGAATACAATGTCAGATTTTGCTGTGTAATTTTAAATATGGTATTTTCAAATTCAGACCATCTGGAAGAAACCCATTGTTACAGCTTTGGAAATTCCTCTGCTAAACTGCAGTACAACTTAAGGAAAGTAATAAGTGCTACTAGTGTGAATGGAATGCTATTTCCTGTTTTAGATCTATAAATACAACTAGTGCAGTGGCCATAGCTTGAATGAACTTAGCATCTATTTTAAATGTTTTAAAAATAAAAATTGTTAGATAACTGGCCTATATATGCCTTTCTAGCTTTCCTAAATTTAAGACAATCCCCCACCAAATGATTTTTTTTTGGGGGGGGGGGGGGAATCTCAATAAAAACAAAAATCCTCTCTACCACTGATCTTACCTATCTTGCCAAACCTAGTGTTATTACAGTTGAACCCAATCCTGAAATCTTCCTCCCTCCCAAAATGTGTACATCCATGAAATCTTTGCATAAATGAATGTGTGTATGTGTGACTCTGTATACCTGCCAGGCACTTTATCAAAAGGCAAGGGTCTGATAATTAGAAAGTATTAATTGAATTAAAAATAACTTTCATTGACAGTAACATTTACTTCATTTATAAAATTAAATACTTTACATCTACATATATTAATGATACTCATTGACACAGGAACCTGTCACATGTAAAAATAAATATGGCTCAAAAGTTGAGAAAGGTTTCTCTCAGATGTGCCCAGTGTGACCAATGGGCTTTCTGCTTACAACGTATGAGTATTAACTGCAAACACATAGTGATATGCTTTACATTCAGGGGTGGGCTGCTACTGGTTGACACTGGTTCAGATGAACCGGATGCTAATTTTACATCTGGTTCATCGAACCAATAGTTCTGGTGACTGGCTGGCCCCTCCCCTCCCAGGAGTCTCCACGTAGCCTGTTTTCGATCCCAGGTAAGTGCAGGGCCCGCACAGAGGCTCAGGGAGGGCGAAATATGGGCCTCTTGGAGGCTCCGGAAAGCCAGAAACTGGTCCATTTCTGGCCTCCAGAGAGCCTCCGAAGCCTGGAGAGGGTGAAAAACGGGCCTCCCGGAAGTTCCACAAGACCGGAGCCCGGGGAGGCCGTTTTTGCCCTCCTGGAGGCTTGAGGAAAGCCCCCGGAGCCCGGGCAGGATGAAAACTGCACCCCCCACACACTGTGATGTAGGAGGCTGACTAGGCCATGCCCAACATGGCCATGCCCACCCACCAACCGGGCAGAGAACCAGTTGCTACATTTTTTGAAGCTCACCTGTTTACATTCCATGTGGCTTCATATTACTGGTACTTTTTGTTGGAATAGACTGTTTTGGGGATAAATAACCATATTGAGCTGGAGATGCTTTGTGTAACTCCACAAAAGAGATGAGGCATGTAGTCCCACCACATCAGATCTGTATGAGGAAGTGAAGAGCCTGGTTTAGATCAGTCTCTAGACCCATTTGCCAAGAAGAAAAGTCAAATTTAAGTTCCTCTTTTGTTGAACTTCCATTAGCAAGGAGAGGCTTTTTTGTTCAGGTGGACATGGGGCTTTTAAGCAATGGACAAAACCAGTGGAAAAGAAGCTTTTGCTCTCAGTTTGGAAAGTGGGGGGTATCTGTAGCCCTGAGGCTACTCAGAATTCAGAATGCCTGACTGAAATTAAGAAGGTGGAAGTTGATGCAGGAAATGATCGCTGAGTTATCATTTGCCTGCCGGTCCTTTAAAGCAGGGGACCCCAACCCCATGGCCAATGACAGGTACCAGTCCGTGGCTTGTTACCTTGTTTCCCTGAAAATACTACCTGCCCTGAAAGTAAGTCCTAGCTTGATTTTACACATGTGCCCAATATAAGCCCTACCCCTAAAATAAGCCCTAATTAAGATCCTGTCCACTTCAGAGTGCATGAGTAAGAAATTAAGCTAGGGTGGGGAGGGGGAGTGGGTGGAGCTGCCCTACTACTTACCTTTGGACAATTGTAGCCAGGACTCGCACACCCCAACACCTGCCTTGCCGGCCCATTCCTTCTGCAGCTGGCAAGTCTTTCCTGAAGGCCTCTGTAGCTGATAAAAAAGCTCCGGATCGATCCGGAGCTCTATTATCCGCTGTAGAGGCCTTCAGGAAAGCCTTGCTGGGTTCCAGTTCTACTGTCTCTCTTCTGCAACGAAATTTATTATGTGAAAAACCACTTTTCAAAGGCACAAACTGCTTGTTTCTTGGGCAACCACAATGTCTGGTTTTAAAGTTGCAGGATTGAGTCTAGGAAAGTAGGATTGCCCTTCATAGGACAGTCTAAAACAGAGGTCTCCAAACTTGGCAACTTCAAGACTTGTGGACTTCAACTCCCAGAATTCCTCAGCCAGCATAGTTGGCTGAGGGGATTCTGGGAGTTGAAGTCCACAAGTCTTAAAGGTACCAAGTTTGGGGACCGACCCCTAGTCTAAAAAAAATGCAGGCCTTTGTCTCATCCTGGGACCTTTCTTACATTAGATCTGAGAACAAGGGGTGAAGAGTGGGTGGGCGGGCGTTAATCAAATTCTGAGTGGGCCTGGGGCAATGCCTTTTCATTGTAAAATGCCTTTTCGAAAGACTTGGATCTGTCTGTGTGCTCTTTGTTACATACAGATCAGGCTTATTTAAAACAAAGGCCTACTGACCTTCCTAACCCCTTTCTATGCCTGTGGTAGCTTTCAGGATTCATTGTTTGCTTTTAAGTGGCTAGGTGACACTTCTCGCCTCTTTGGACTTTCAGTTATCTTCATTCATCTTATCCACAAATAAGAGAGGCTTCCTTTTTTTACCCCCCCATATCCCACCCCAAATTGCTTCGCCTTTATCTGTAGGCTGCTAGTATCACTCTTCTATCAGATTTTAAAAGTTATAAATGGACATTTGAAGGCTGTTTGTAGCATTCTGTTTCTTTTTGCTTATTGGGAGATGCTGTGGTCTTGGCTTTTTTTTATAGGAGCGTTTATAGGAGGGTTTATTATTGATGTATAATATCAAAGTTTTTCTTTTTTGTTCTTCTTTTACATACATACTATGAGGAGTATTGTTTAGTTTCTTTTTTGGGATAAGTAACATTGTGCAAAGCACAGAATAAGGAGTAGTAAACAAAAGAAATTAGAGGTACCAGATTAAAGAAGGGGAAAAAGGCCTTCTAAATATATAAATTTAGACAGCACTTTAGAAATGCTCTGTAAACCTCAGTCCATTTTCTTCTAGGTGAAATCAGTAACTGTGTTGTCCTGTTCATTTCTCAGTGATTGTTCACTTCTCTATTTCAGTTGAACCAATGCTTATGTAGCTTGCTACTATGAGAACTTTACCTAATATCTAACAAAGTCATTTTTTTTGTTTTTGTTTTTTGAATGTTTCCCAGCCTTTCTAAAATTTTGCATCAGAAACGTAGCCTCATTCAAGATTTGTACCCAATCTACTGTTTTCTCAGTAACTTTAATGACAGGCTTAATGATTAGTTGTTCCCCATGTTATTATCACTGCTCTGTTTCCTTTCCTTCAGCAAAGTGAGCTGAACTCCTTCCTGTGGACTATAAAGAGAGACCCGCCATCTTACTTTTTTGGTACCATTCATGTCCCTTATACTCGGGTCTGGGATTTTGTCCCTGAGAATTCTAAGAAAGCCTTCCAGGACAGTCATATTGTCTACTTCGAGCTGGACCTCACAGATCCCTACACAATCTCTGCTTTGACCAGTTGCCAGCTCCTACCACAGGGCAAGAACCTTCAGGATGTGCTCCCCAGGGACCTCTACCGCCGACTCAAGCGCCATTTGGAGTATGTCAAGCTGATGATACCTTCCTGGATGACTCCAGATCAACGAGGCAAAGGCCTATATGCAGACTACCTCTTCAATGCTATTGCAGGCAACTGGGAAAGGAAAAGGCCTGTTTGGGTCATGCTGATGGTGAATTCTCTGACTGAGGTGGACATCAAGTCACGGGGTGTACCTGTTTTAGATCTCTATCTGGCTCAGGAAGCAGAACGCCTCAAGAAGCAGACGGGTGCAGTCGAAAAAGTAGAGGAACAATGCCATCCATTGAACGGTCTCAATTTTTCTCAGGTAAGGATGTTCAGACTGTTTTTTGATAGACACATAAAATACTCAATGTGTGCTCTCATAATTCTTAGCTGATAACTTTTTCTTAGAGAAACAGAAGAAGCTGGAACATTAGGTCAGCTTTTTATCATTGAATATCTTCATCTAATGTTATAAAACCAGCAGATCAACAGAATGAATATTATAAAAGTAAAACAAGGTACAGTCCATAGGACTGTGCTTTTATCAGCAAAATAAAGATCATATCTCCTGTTTGAATAGTAATATATTTGTTTTGTTGTTTTTATTTTTTAATTTAAAAACACTTTTTACACACATATTTATAGTTATTTTTTTCTGTTCAGGCTTCAACTGTTTCACATTTCTCCTGCTGTGACTCTGCAAACGTGTACAGATCTGTCAAGTATTTGTTCTAAGCCAAATGTGTAAATTGAGATCCCTGACACCTTTCTGTTTAACAAACTAGAGTTGCAAGCAAGTTTTTTTTTTCTTTTTAATGCACGATTTGGGTTTGTTAAGGGAACCTTGTTTTATAGCTTTCCATTAACACCAGGGTGATTAATACAGTATATTGACTGCAAGTCCTTCATCACAGGCCATTTGGGCTAGAAGCGATGAGTATTGGAGTTCAATAGCATCTTGGCTAGGAAAAAAACCCCTAACAATATAGATTTCTCTTGGTTAGGTAGCCAAGAGGAGAAATTGGAAGGCTGGTGAAGCATACATGAGCATACTTGATATGTAATCAAAGCCAATTAGCATGACTTCACAAATGTATTGTTCTTTGATGAATAGTCATTGTGCAGCACTTTAAAAGGCAAAATATAGCACCTGTCTGAAGTCCTTTGGGGGGCATATCTTCTCCCAAAATTGCGCAGGTTCTAATCATGGCTGCAATGCAATTCCAGAGTTGCAGACAGGTGCTACGTATGCACTTCTATGTTCTCCAAAGCACCTTTTTGCTTTCAAATACAAATTACTTGCCCTATTGTTGGTACTGGGTGTCTTACCACTAAGGTAGGGGTTGGCAACCTTAAACACTCAAAGAGCCATTTGGATCTGTTTCCCACAGAAAAGAAAATACTGGGAGCCACAAAACCCTTCCCATGCCTGACTATTTCCTGAGCGGCCACAAAACTGGCATATATAGTTGAATTAAAGATTGTTTTCTTCTGAAACTTTGCTTTTCTTGGATTTATCCATGGTTAGCCTACCGGGGGTGGAAAAGCTCAATAAATCGCATGTCGGCGGGTGTCGCACATTGGCAGTTGCGATGCATATTTTGAGAAAACAGGGAGCCACAGCAGAGGGATGGAAGAGCCACATGCAGCTCCAGAGCTGCGGGTTGCTGACCCCTGCACTAGGGACTTAATGGGGATGTTTGAAAAGATACCTGTAATTTGAACAAAAAATTAAGAAAGGATTCAGGTTATGGAAAATATCTTAGAATGCAACATATTTGAATGTATATCTTCATCCCTCATTTAGCCCCGTTAAACAAGTACAACAGTAATGCAGTTGCCCGAAGACCTGGGGAAATGTTAACATTGTGTATCTGCTAAACGATGTCTGAAATCACTGCCATTCCTTCTATGGAAGCAGCATGTTTGGAGTAAGTTGAAATGTCTAATCTAGGCCCGTTCTCTGTTACTTTGAAATTAAGTACCCTAAAAGTGCCTTACCATGATAACAAAATAGCATACAGTAGAGTCGGGAAACAGCCACACTGATGATACAATTATCAAAGAATCCCAGGCTTTCACATAAATACTTTTGTCTCTAGTGGTTTTGAAAAAGCCTTTCAAATAGCCTAAAACATTGGATATCCTCTCTCTGTCCTTCATCTGCTAAGTTCTGCAGGAGGTTGATACAGCATGAAAATCTACGTTCATGAACATCTGGATAGTTCAAGGACATATGTGAAGGCTCTTGATATTATCAGACGCAGTTTGTCATAAACCAAAAAGAGAAGAAATGGGTAACTTTGAAGATTTTTTTTTTAAGGAATATGCCTGATCCCCATCTCACTCCCTTTCCCTAAAAGAGCTATCTTGATCTTTGTATTACTTCATGGATAAGCTTTTGTCTTTTGCTCTAGTTCAATGTTTTTCAAACTTGGGGATTTTAAATTGTGTGGACTTTAAATCTAGTTTGATATATATGCTTTTCAAAGGAACTTTAAGCCCAAACCTATAATAGTTTTATATTATGGTGAAAATTCATCCAGGATAAGAAAATATTGACAATGGTATTTAGGGCCTAGGGCATTCTCCACAAAATTTAATCTAGTACTCCATAAAGCATGTTCCAGTTCCCATTGGTGAAGTAAGGGAAGACCTTAGGCCTGAAATTTGAATATTTCCCATGGAAATATACTAATAGTCTATTGAAGAGCATATCATTTCATTTTACTGGAAAGAACAGTTTTGTTAATAAAGTCTGGTGAGTCTATGGCAGAGGTGTCAAACTTTCAGCGTCATATGATGTATGAGGACTTTTTCCCTCTTCACTAAGCTGGTTGTAGCCAGTGTGTGACGCACCCAGCCCACGGGCCGCGAGTTTGACAGCTATGCTCTATGGTATCAAATTCATCACCTTTTGGATGGGTGGAAGGCGAACTTCTGTTTTGATAATACAGGTAGTCCTCAACTTATGACTATGGTTGAGCCCAAAATTTCTATTGCTTCGTGGGGCATTTGTTAAGTGAGTTTTGTCCCATTTTATGACCTTTTCTGCCACAGTTGTTAAGTGAATCACTGCAGTTGTTAAGTTAGTAACACGGTTGTTAAGTGAATCTGGCTTCCCCACTGACTTTGTTTGTCAGAAAGTTGCAAAAGGCAGTCACATAACCCGAGGACACTGCAAACATAAACATGAGCCAGTTGTCACGCGGTCAAATTTTGATCACGTGATGATGAGGATGCTGCAGCGGTCGTAAGTGTGAAAAACAGTTATAGGTCACTTTTTTCACTGTTGTAATTTTGAATGGTCACTAAACAAATGGTTGTAAAGACTACCTGTACTGTTACCATCTTGGTACTACACATAGTTTGCAATACTGCTTTTAAATAAAGGTATTTCCACAGATAGTGGCATTTACTTAATTATAGATCTGAATAGACATGAAAGTGTTGAGCACTTATATCAGGCAGGGTTGGTCTTTCTTTGGCAGGGTTTCTTCAACCTTGGCAACCTTAAGATGTGAGGACTTCATTTCCAGAATTCCCCAGTCAGCATGGTTTCTGGTTTCCATTACAATTCCCTTTTGACAGTTTTACCTGCTGAAGATCTATTGTATTTCTGGAGGATCACAATGTATTCCAAAATGCTTTCCCACTTAATGTGGCCTACCAGTCCAGTCCAGTTATTTCAACTTACCATGGCTTCAAATTATCTAACAGTGCTTTAGGTTTGCAGGAGGAAAACTGATTTGCCACTACTGTGCAGTATTTATATTTTACATTGTATTATAACAGCCAATATTTCCCAAGACATAATTTGAAAGCACTTATCCTTGATCTCACATTACGTGAGATGATACAATATCACTCCTTTTTCAGTAGATCACAGAGAATGGGTTGATGTTTTTTGAGCTTTCAGAAAGCATACTTGCTGCCTACATTTCAAAGCACAACTGAAGATTATGCAACTAATTTTTACAAGGCTTACTCACTTTAAAGGAAAACTATTTTCTCCCCAGGAGGGGAGAATCATCTTAGATTTACTGAGAAAATAGTACTGATGGTAGATAGTGTCACCTTTCCAATGGATCTTTCCAGGTGGTGAATCTACGTTCTTTGAACACCAGGGGGCACATCAAAAACAGAGTGTACAAGCTCCTGAAAGCAGCCACCCATCCTCCACATCTTACCATTGTTGTTGATAGGAAGTATAATTCAGTCTGTTGCTACCTTTTAACACAGGAAATTATGGGTGCAACAATCTTAATAGCAAATAAAACATCTAAGGCTTATTGCTGACAAGTATAACAGGTGCTTGGTTTCAGCATTCTAATTTCATGAGAACAATAGTCTCTTATTATCCAATACATTTATTTTCAGAATGAGTATGACAGATAAAATTATAGCATTTCATGAAGGTTTCACAAAACAAATTACAGACATGATTTGATCTGATTTAAACTTGCACTCGCATTCTGCCATATGTGGAAGCAAATTTCTTGGCTCACAAATGTGTCTAAAAACGATAACCAAATTCATATCAGATCTAATTTTCAGCTTCACAAGAAATTCAGGTAAACTCTGATCACAATATGTTTGAATATATTATCAAAAATCATGACACAAGATGACATTGAGTTTTATAGAATTAATATTCTGAACAAGGCTGATTGATTCTGACAATTTTTATTTTTTCCCTTTTATTAAATATTTGAAATAACCTCAATAGAATCAATACCTGAAGAAAAAAAAGGGGGGTGAAAGGTTGTAGATAAAAGGTTGTAGATAAAAGAATAAAGTATCAGTAAACGTGAATCATGAAATCATGAATCATGAAATGTGATGTTCATTGAAATCATGAAAGGTGAAGTTCATTATTTCATCAATTCATTCATTATGCTAGACCTAGGTTTATTATATAATTTTAAAAAACTATATGAAATGAATATCACTATCATTATTTCAAGAAAAATGTTCACACATCAAGAAGAAACAGAAAAACCAGTTCAGTATTTATTTTAAATTCCCTGCTAATATACTCCAATTGAAATGTACCATTTTTGTTTCAAGTATCTGTCATCTGAAGGGGAAAGAATGCTTTGGCCAAAATAAACTACATACAGCATTCTGTACTTATGTCTAAATGCAGATACCCAGGAGGATGAAATGTTTCAGTCTTGACTGTTGAGGAGAAATGAAAGGCCAATGAAATTCTAAGAGCCAATGAACTTTTAAACCCAAAAGTGTGTCACGAATCAGTTGTGAGTGGAGGGAAAATAAAATTTAGGGGAATAGTAAGAGCTGGAAGGAAGAGACCACATG